GAACTCACCCAATAACCCTCTGGGCAAGGTAACTCCTCTAGCCATGCTGTGAGTGGCCCTGGGAGCTGCTGGGGTGCTGCAGCCACATTCGCAGTGCAGCAGTGACTCAACCTTCCTTGCACACAAGGAAAATGGGTTTTCTGAAGGCACCACATGCTGTGCTCACTCTTCTGGTGTTTTTAAGCCTTTTAAGTCTTTGGTGCCAGCAGTGGCTTTGCCCAGCTAGACCTGCCAACTCCTGCCTCCCTGACCTGGGAGATGGTGCTGTCAGGGTGCACAGCCTTCATGGACAGGCAGGGACAGGCTCGGAAATGCCCCTGCTGCATCCCTGCCCCGTTCCCTTCCTGCTGCAGGTGTTCAGCCGTGGGGAGCTGGAGCTCATTGCAGAGCTGTGTGTGAAGCACGACGTCCTGTGCATCAGCGACGAGGTGTACGAGTGGCTGGTCTACGATGGGAAGGAGCACATCCGGATCGGTGCGGAGACGGCCTGGCTGGGCCTGGGGGCCTCCTCAGGGGAGGCAGTGGTGATATCACTGGGGTCCCCTGGAGATCCCACAGGATGCCTTGCATGCACAGCTGTACTAGGCACAAATCCTCGTTGGAGGTGTTTTGCTGCACTCCAATCTCAGCCTCCAAACCAGGTCTTATACAGGAGCCCTGACTTCAGAGCCAGTCAGAGGGGAGATGCAGAGCAAAGAGCCCTTTGGCTCCAGTGAAACTGAGGTTTTTTTCCCATGCTTTGTAAAGCCACAGTTTTCTGAGTGTCTCTAGTTTCGGGAAATCCATTTCAACACGATTTCAGAGGCCTGTTCTTCCAGTTGCAGTAACATGCAATCACCCTGTTGCAGAGTGATGGTGCTTGGCATTTCCAGGAGCCCCTGGGGCTGGGTACATGAGCATGAAAATATTTAATTAAAAAGAGATGCTCTTGAGAAACCTGGCTGCCTTGACGCTCATCCAGGTGAAAGATGTGCTGTGAACACACAAAAGATCACGCTGGGTTATGGTGGGCAGAGAGCTCCCAGAAATGAGCACACTGAGCTCTGCCACTGGGGTTTCTCTCCTTTCATTGCCAGCCAGCTTGCCAGGGATGTGGGATCGCACGGTGACCATTGGGAGTGCTGGGAAGACCTTCAGTGCCACTGGATGGAAGGTGAATGCCCCACGTGGCACCTCATTGTGTCCCCATCCCTATCCCTTTGCCACAGCACAGCGCTGGGGATGCTGTGGCCACGCGCTCAGCTTTGAGCCTCGGGGTCTGGAAGCACCAAAGCTGCTTTAGGAAAGCTCTGTCTGGAAAATACAATGAAACCAGCCCAGGCAAATAAAGGGGAGCCTGAGCAGGTTCCCAGAGACTTCCCACTTTCCTCCTCCTCTCCTGGCTGCAGGTGGGATGGACTGTGGGACCCGACAGGCTGCTGCAGCACGTCCGCACCGTGCACCAAAACTCCGTGTACCACTGTGCCACCATTGCCCAGGTAAGGCAGCTCCCTGCAACTGGCCCTGACATTCCTGAAGCAGGGGCAAGAGATGTTCTTTTGCCCATGACTGACCTGAAAGGCACAGACAAGTTATTTATGGTGCCCTGGAGGGGAGAGTCCAGCCTGCCCTGGGGTACATGCCTGCCTTGCATCGACAAATCTAAGGGGCCATTTGGAAGTGCTGGAGGCAGAGTTCCTTAATCACCTGTGAATTGCATCAGAGCAAAGAGTTTAGTTCCTGAACAAGCCTTGGCCATCTTCCCACTGGGCACTGGTCATCTCTCCTTGCAGGAGGCCGTGGCTCAGGGTTTCCAGAGGGAGCTCACACTCTATGGCAAACCAGAGAGCTACTTTGTCCAACTGCCTAGGACACTACAGCAGAAGAGAGACTTGCTGATCCAGAGCCTGGTTGCTGTGGGGATCAAACCCATCGTCCCCGAGGGCACCTATTTCCTGGTGGCTGACATCTCCGAGTTCAGTGAGTCAGCTGCAGCTCTGCCCAGGGGGGCTGAGTGTGGGGGGCAGCTCAGAGAGTACCACTGGCAAGGGCAGGAACCTGCCTAAAGCACCACCAAGGCAGGGATGGACAGTGCATTCCCCATCCAAGCTCCAAGGATGTGGGTTTGGGGCACCCGGCAGCCGCCCCAGCCCCTGTCCTGCTTTGCTTCTCCTGCAGAATCTGATGTCCCCGAGGTCCCCAACTCAGATGAGCCCTATGACTGCAGATTTACGAAGTGGATGATGAAGAACAAGGTAACTGTGAATGGCCCTTCCTGCTGCACTTGCCCCGGGTGGGTTTGTGCCCTCCCCGCTGGCTGCACCTTTGGGAGCCAGAGCACGACACCACTGCCCATCTGGCAGCTCCTGGCAGGGGGGATCTGGAGGGGAGGGCTTCACCCACGCTGGGGCAGGGCAGCCCCAGAGCAGGAAACTCAGCTCCATGTGCTTCCTTCTTCCCAGGGCCTTGCTGCCATCCCGCTCTCCACTTTCTACAGCGAGGCCCACAAGAACAACTACCCCAATTTCATCCGGTTCTGCTTCGCAAAGGTGAGACGTGACAGCACCGAGGAAGGTGAGGTTGGGAGTAACAACCAGGGCTGGTTTAATGAGATAAATGCCAAGAAGAAATGCAGAGTGGGCACAGGACCCTGAGCGTGGCATTCCAATTGGAACAACCCCTCCTCCAGACATGTGAGCTGAGCCAGGGGCAGCAGGTGTGCAGGGCCATCCTAAGCTTGGCCCCATCAGCATCCTACAGTCCTTGGTCAAGGCAGGGAGTCTCTGGGGGTGTGTTTAGCTGCCCAGTGGCCATGCCTGCCCCAGAGGTGGCTGTGCCTGTCTCACACTGAACACACAGCATTTGCCACGTTCAGGAACGAGAACAGGATTTTTGTATGAATGGTGACTGCAGTGAGGGAAAATGGGATTTGGTTGGAAGCCACTGACCAAATCTGTGGTATTTGTTTAGGAGGAAGCTACACTGAAGGCAGCAAATGACATATTGCAAAAATGGAAAAAGGAGAAAACCAGTTCCTGAGTGCACTGGAGAGAGAACCAGGCTCTCCTTGGTCCTCACCTGCCCTGACTACTCTTCTTCCTCTTCTTTACTTGTCTACAAACTTTGATACCTTCTTATTTCTGTGCTTTCAACCATTTTCTGTCAGACAAATGGGTAAGAGGTTTGCCAGGCCCGGAATCTGCAAACACTTGAAGTCGCTGTGAAATGGGCGCAGTAACTTGGTGTGCACTGACAGTATTTGACGTTTCTTCTTACTTTTAAAGACTTTGCTAATCAGTTCTGGGATGTATCCAACAAGACACAAGGTAAGGAGGGCTCCAGGAGTGTTTTCCATCACCAAATTCTGGAAAGGTGCTTCAGGACCTACCTTTAAGGCCGTGGTGAGGAGTTAGTCTGGCTTGTCTTGCTCCACATCCCTCATGTAATCCAAAGTGCAGGACAGCATTTCCACCAGCACTCATATTCCCACAGGACTGTACAGTATCACCAGCCATCAGGAGGGTGACTCCATGATCCTGAAGATTATAAATCCAGTGAGATGTTTTTTTCCATAACTAACAATTTTCCCATTACTTTTTCCTGTTACTGCCTGGGGAAGGTGACCACAGAATCCGTAACCAGTTTCCCCCAGAAAACAGCTTTTATCAGTATCCTGGCTATTGCCAAACCTTCCCTGTGCACCCCCAAACTACTCTGGGCTTGGCAGAATCGTCCAGGATGCAGAGCAAAACCTTTAGGCCTTTGATCAGAGCACATGGTGCCTGAGGCACTGTGGCCTCAGGCTGCTCCTGCTGCTGGTGCCCCCCACAGCCTCCCACCCACTGGGCTGGTGGGGTGACATGAGCAGCATCTGAGAGAGAATTCTTGCATCAGTCTTGATTTCAGCCTGGATAAGAATGTAAAACATCATCATCAACCGTGCAGGACTTATGTGCACCAGACTGTGCCACGAGTGTTTGTAGCAGTTAAATTATTAAAGTGGAACTACTGCAATCATGGAAGAGTCAATGTCTCTGTACTGACTGTAGGGCTGACACAGCTCTCCTGGAGAGCTGCTGTCACCTGTGCAACACTTGTACTGGGTCCTGTGGTGGTGGCTGCTCGTCCCACCCAGGCTGGCAGGGAGCAGCTCCACAGGTTTTCCATACTGGGCTGCAGCTGATGGGACTGATCCCTTTGGATCCAGAGCTGCATGGACCGGGGGAAGGAGGCAAACAAACCTGCTCTCACTGGTGGCCCATGCCAGGCTCACCTGCTTGCACAGCCTGGGTGGGTGCTGCTGAAAGCCCTTTAGCACCCATTTACCTACCAAACATGGGGAGAGCTGCAACTACTGAAACAGAGAAAGAACCGTGAGATTAGATTATTAACATGAAGATTAATTGCAACGCCCCCACATGTGGGAGCTCTTGCTCTAGGCCATGGCACAACCTGCAAGGGGCAGGATGCGTTTCCACATTGTCCAACACACAAGCAGTGCTTGTGCAAAGAGATACAGATGTGGCTGCCTAAATTTTACATACACACCCCTAGACCCTGCTAACGGCTATAGCCAGCATTTAATCTTTATTATTGTTTTGGGGATGAAGCACAACTCTCCAGAAAATCACATCTCAAGAGATCCACAGATGACATGCATTCAAAAAGAAAAAAATGAGAAGAAGCCTCAAGGAACAGCTGCAATCCCAAGGAACATTTGCTCCCAACCACTCAGAACGTTTCTATTCGTGAACTAGACCTCCTCGGATGTAAAAGGTCACTCACACCATTGAACAAGCACGAAGCTAAAAATCTGACCAACCATAAAATTACGGCAGTTCCCATATTCCCGCGTCGCCTCAGGTCACCCATCCGCCCGCAGAACGCGGCGGTCCCGGCTTAGCTTCGCACCCGCGCCGGGCGCTTAAGCAAGGCCCACGTGATACCGGGGCTCCGCCCCCCCGGGCGGTGCCAGGGCCGTCCGACCAATCACAGTGCGGGGGGCGTGACCGAGAGCGCGGGAAAGATGGCGGACACCGAGGGGAGCGTGGGGAAGCGGCCCCGGGGAGCGCAGGTGGGGCAGGGGGGACCCTGGGAACGGGGGGACGCCGGGGACGGCCCTGAGGGGTAACGCGCTCCGTTCCCCGCAGGTCGAGGACAGGAAGGTGGACTGGCGGCGCTGGAAGGAGGAGAGTAAGGAAGGCCGGGCACACGTGGGGGCTGCGGGAGGGTGAAACCGGTGTTTAACGCCAGGCGCCGTTCCCCGCCCCAGGGAAAGCGGAGAAGAAGAAATGGAAGGAGATGAAGCTGCTGAAGAAGCTGGAGAAACAGCGGGTGCGGGAGCTGGCAGAACAGGAGGCCAAAAAGAAGGAGGAGCAGAAGGAGGAGCAGAAGGAAGACAGAGGTGATGCCGCTGCGACCCGGTGTGGAGACGTGGGTGGAAAAAGCTGGGAGATTTGGGCTCTTAAAAGCCAGTCAGTGTTACAGATTGATAGGGAGGGTGACACTTCATAGGTTCAGTATGGATCAGTCCACATGCCCAAACAGGCACGAACAGCGAGCACTGCATGAGAGACCATTCTTAAGAGAAAATCTGGGATTAAATGTAAGAAGCAGAGGGCATTTTTCCCCCACCACAGCTGCAGCTGAAGCAGTAACTGTGATGCGGTACATCAGCTGTCAGGCCATGGCTCTCTCGTGGCTCTGCTCCCCCAGCCGTGGTTCTCTCTCACGGCTCTCTCTGTCCCCAGGCCGTCGCCACACGCTGAGCGTGGCCCTGCCGGGCTCCATCCTGAACAACGCGCAGTCGCTGGAGCTCCGCACGTACCTGGCGGGACAGATCGGCCGGGCCTGCGCCATCTTCTGCGTGGACGAGATCGTGGTGTTTGATGAGCAGGGAGAGGATGTGAAGTAAGGGAGAGACTGAAAGAGAGCACGTTTAGATGAGATTTTAGGGAGACATTCTTCCTTGTGAGGGTGGGGAGGCCCTGGCACAGGTTGCCCAGAGAAGCTGTGGCTGCCCCATCCCTGGAAGTGTCCAAGGCCAGGTTGGACGGGGCTTGGAGCAACCTGGGCTAGTGGAAGGTGTCCCTGCCCATGGCAGGGGGTGGAAAAAGATGAACTTTAAGGTCCCTTCCAACCCAAACCATTCTGAGATTCTATGAAGGAGGAACCATCCTGATCTGCACAAAGTGTTTCCTCTCAGCTTTCAGTTCCTTCAGTCTTTTACTAAGCTGAGGCCAGGAAGGAACTGTGTGTACCTCATGCAAGTGTTTGGACCTCCCTCAAATGCCAGGATTACAGGGACCCCTCTACCACTGGGAAAAGATTTTGACTGAACAGCCCTGGCAACCAGGATTGTTTTATCCCAGCACAGGGATGACAAACCAGCAGGAGGTGAAGTTCTCCTGTAGTCTTAAACCTTGCTGGGAGGGACAGGACATGCCTATATCTCTTTAGAAGAATAATTTGTGCCCTTCAGCTTTTCACTTGGACCTGCCCTTGTGCTAACTGGTCAAACCCTGCAATTCTGGAGAATCGAGCTCAGTGCCATCCAAGTGCCAGGTTGTGTCAACACACAAAGATCAAAAAACAAAACTGAAAAAGATACCTGGCTTATGGAGAGAGTTCCAAAGATGAGCAGGGTTGAGAGAAGGGGTGTGCTGCTATTTTCAGATTAAGAAGCAAAGCTTGGTCTTCCAGAGACCTGACCAACCTCAGACTGAGTCCTCAAGCTGCTTTCTTTTTCTTTCAGGAGCGTGGAGGGGGACTTCAAAGGAATTGGGAGGAAAGGCAACGCTTGTGTGCAGCTGGCTCGGGTCCTGCAGTACTTGGAGTGCCCTCAGTAAGTCCACCGTGGTCAGACTGTGCAGGAGATCCAACTGCCCTGGGTACCTCACACCAGAGGCTGTGGGAGCAGGAGGCAAATTCTGTTTGTATCACATCATTATGCAGGAACACAGGATCTGATTGTTTCACTTGTCTGGTTCAGGAGTTTAACTGAAAGAGGAGCAGTGAATGCAGGATACAACCTGCACAATACCTTTAGAGGTAGATCAGGGATTTGAAGAAGCTAAGCCTGCTTTTCTCTGTACTCAGCGCCTTTGACTCAGGACAGGGTTGGAACTGAGGCTTGGATTCCATAAAAACAACTTTTCACATTTCAGCCTTCTCTGGTAACAGGTACTTGAGGAAAACCTTTTTTCCAAAACACGAGGATCTGCAGTTTGCAGGTAATGATCCAGCTGTCTCTGTCCCTCCTGAGCTCATTTTGTGTGGGACACACAGATCTCAATAACTGTTCCCACTTCACCGAGCCAGTGAGGTGCTCTGGGACACTGGGAGGGAGGAGGCAGGAGGGCACTTTCACTGTCCTCCTCTCAGCAACTCTTCCCTGTGTGCTGTTCCAGGGCTCCTCAATCCCCTGGACAGCCCCCACCACATGCGGGTGGATGAGGACTCAGAATACCGGGAGGGTGTCGTGCTGGACCGGCCATCGAAGCCAGGCAGAGGTTCTTTTGTTAACTGTGGGATGAGGAAGGTATGTCTGTTACCCACAGATCCCCAAAACAATCCCCTTTGTCTCTCTGGCAGATCTGAAGCAGGCAGGGTGGGTACTGCTGGGTTTCTGAAGGCCACAGCGGGCTGGCAGGGGGTTTAAGGCTGTTGCTGTCTTGTCCCTTCTGGCTCTCCAGTGTTTGTGGCTTCCCAAGCCCCTGGAAGGCCCTGCTTATTCCAGCACATTGTTGCTTCACTGCTGCAGCTGAACCTTTGAGCAGCAAAATAAGTCTCAGAGTGATGCCCAAGGCCCTGAGCCACACGCAGTGCTCCTCATTCCAGCTCCAGGCTGGAACAGACCCCCACTTCCTGAGAGGGTTCCCTTCCTTCCCCACCTTCCCCAGTACTTCCAGAATACCTGACAATGATGGTGACTGTCACTGCAGGAGGTGCAGATAGACAAGCAGCTGAACCCTGGTCTGAGAGTCACCGTGCGCCTGGAGGAGCCCCAGAATCCAGGTAATCCATGGCTCCAGTGGCATCTATGAACTGCAGGAGCTGATCCTTCCATAGCACAGGTTTGAAGGTATCCAACAGTTCTACACCTTCCCTTCACACACAGTTTAGTAACACCCTTACCTTGCCTCTTTGACCAACAGTGAACACCCCAAACACACCTGCACACTTTCCAGAACTCGCAGAATTCCCAGAATCCCTTTTCACATTCTGGAAAAAGGGAGGGTCGTGTTGTACACCAACTCAGTGCCCCACCCCAGGAGAAATCGCTGGTCAAATCTCACCAGATTGCAGGGGTTGATCATCTCCTTGCTTCCCTTCCAGAAGCCAAAGTGCACAAAGGCACCGTGGTGTCCTCACACCACCCCCGGACGGTCTCGGGCTTGTACTGGGGGTACAGTGTCCGCCTTGCCTCCTGCCTGAGTGAGTATTGGCAGGGATTCCCTGCTCTCTGTCAGGGCTCTGCCTGAGCTTGCCCACCAATTTCAGGCCTACTGGCTAAACATATTAATATCTCTTCCACAGAAATCTCTCTTGTCTTAAAGGCAGCTTACACATGCAGTTAGCAGCCATCTGGCAGCCAAATTTAGGGGCCAGTCACCCACCAAAACTCTGCCCTGTATCTCCACTCACCATTGCTCCAAATGGCTGCACAGTAGCAGATGAGTTTCCATGATAACGACATCCCACTCATTCCCACCAGAGCCAGCAGTGACATCTGAGCTCAAGAGCCCTGAAAAATCCTCTTCCTGAGTTCTGGTTGACTGGAAAACTATTAGTCAAGGAATAGTTCCTAGCACCAATGTTATGAGCGTTGAGGAGAAGGTGCTGCTGTTGAGAAGGGTGTGGGAGGTTCCTAGAGCAAGGGAATTATGTGGGAAAGAGGAATCATTCTTCTGTCTCCTGATGCACCAGTGGCACTAGTTCACCTTGTCCAGAAGGCACATGGGTGAGGGCACTGCAGCAATAACCCCTGACTGTGCTTCCCAGGTGCTGTCTTTTCCGAGTGCCCGTTCAAGGAAGGCTACGATCTCTCCATTGGGACCTCGGAGCGGGGCAGCCCCGTGGACCACGTCACTCTCCCCTCCTTCAGGTTTGTGTCCCACCTGCTTGGCCCCTCTGAGAGCCCCCAGCAAGGCTGGTGCAGGCAGCAGAGCTGCACTGCAGCCTTGGTGTCCTCCCAGGCTGGAATGCTCCTAGATCCAAGTGCAAGACTTACCCACAGGCTCCCTCCAGTGCTCTGCTGCTCCCTTCTACACCAAGGCACATTTGTCTGCGTCCCAGAAGCTGGGGAAGTACCCCGGGTCAAGGCCAATTCCTTTCCTGTTTCTCTGGAGTTGGTAGCAGGGACTGTCACATTGGCCAAGTGCTGCAGGGCTTTTTGTGGGGAGGCAGCTGCACTGGGCACCATCAGCAAGGGACACAGCTCCCTGCTTCAGCAGCACACAGGAGCTTGAAAGCAGACCCAGACACCTGAATAAAAGAAAGGAGCCTGCTTCTTGCAGATTCTGCCCTCTCACCCTGTCCCTGTCCTCTTCCCAGGCATGCCCTTGTTGTGTTTGGAGGCCTTGAAGGCTTGGAAGCCGGGGTTGATGTGGATCCAAACCTGGAGGTCACCGACCCAAGCACACTCTTTGACTTCTACCTGAACACCTGCCCCGGCCAGGGCAGCAGGACCATCCGCACAGAGGTGGGGGGCTGACGGTGCAGGGTGTGCCCAGGGCAGGGCTGGGTTTCTGCCTGTGGCAGTAACACGGGTGGCTCCCAGTGACCCTCAGGGAGCAGCTGCTTTGCCTGGTGCTCTCAGAGCAGCTCTGACTCCGTTCTGTTCCAGGAAGCGCTGTTGATCTCCCTGTCTGCACTCAGACCCCACATCCAAGAGGCTGTGAAGACACCAGGGACAGCTGAAGGGAAGGGAAACCACTGACCTTGGCAGGCACTGAGGACTCAGGGAGGCGGCTCTTCAAACGAGGGGTGCTGGGCAAGTCACTCCAAGAGCCTGGCAGGGCCGAGGCACAGCGTGACCAAAGCTGGCAGTGCTGCCCAGCCAAGAATTCAGCTGCTGCTGGGAGCAAGTCCGTGCCCTCCTGCCTGCATGGCCTAGCAGCTGGGACAAGCCTGGCAGCAGGCTGGATCTCAGCAATTCCGACATCTGGGGTGGGAATAAAGCAGTATGGAACCTCAGCTGCCTCGAATCCAGGTGTGACTTCATGTAGAGGATGGGCACTCTCTGTGCAGAGGTCCTGCACACTCAGTGACTCTGGAGCCATGTGGCTTTCAGACTGAAAGGAAGTCAAAGCTTAATCCTTATGCCAAGAAGCTGCTCTTGCCTCAGCATGACTTCCCCAGCCCCCCCTTCAACTCCAAGGCTCCATCCTTCCCAACACCAGGAAGAGCTGGAGCTTCAGTTGGGCCTCAGCACTAAAACACATCAGCTCGTTACAGTTTGGCTCCATCTGTGATGCCTTAAGCTCTGCCTACAGTGAGCTCAGACAGGAAAGCAGCTGGAAAAGTTGGTTCTGTCCTTCCCTTCTCCTGCTGAGATATTCAGAGCTTTGGTGAGAGCAGATAAGAAACAACCAATACCATGGGTGGTCAAAGCTTTACTGCTAAAACCATCTTCTGAAAGAAAACAATCACACAATCCTTTGGCCACAGGAAGGCAGGAACTTCTCCTCTCCTCCCACTGCACCCATCTTGCTTCCCCTCCTTCCCTGATAAACAGCAAAAATTAGTAACTTCCCTCTGTGCCCTAACGAGCCTCACATAACTCCAGGGGAGCAGTGGATTAGGGACAGATTCTAGTCTAGAGAGTTGCTACAGTGTCAAGTGCCCAGGAGTCTTTGGAGGACCTCCCTGGAGATCTGCTGTGTGTTGTGTTTCACTGTCACACAAAAGAGGGGAAGGGGTAGAAAGAAGCATTGGTTTGATTCTTCCCACATTTAAAATTGCACAAGGAACTATGATTCTGTGGGTCACTGCTGTCAGTCCCTTCCCAGGGGATACCTGGATTTGCTTAGTCAGGGTTCAACTTTTGCTCCCAGCTGTGATGGCTTTCAAGTTACTTGTTCTCCTCAGGATGTTTGGGACAAAGAGCAGCCCCGAGGCTCTCTCGATGCTCTCGATGGGGACCAGGAACCGTTCCAGGGGGATTTTCTCATCCACGGGGCTGTTGGGCATCACGTACGAGCGCAGCTCAATCTCCCCACTCTCCTTTTCCAAGATGAGCACCTTGAAGAAGTGGGTGGGGACGGCCACGTTGTTCTTCCCAATCACCTGGTACTTGACATACATCTTCCCATCAGCCTCCGTCCTGCACCGACAGCAACATCCCAGGTTATCTCCCAGTCTGGTGCCACCTCCACCCCCTCAGCCCTCCAACACCCCCCTAAGTGAGCTCCCACCCCCCGGCAGCAGAGGCTACGTGACAGAGGGAGGCTGAGCTGTGCATTGGGTCTGCTCCCCCCAAACCCCTCCCTGCTGGCTCTCTGTAACAGCCCTTCCAAGCTATTTCCTGCTGCTGAAGAGATCTCAACATGAGACAGCTGCTCTTTAGCGCTACGTGAAGATCTTTGCAAATAAAGTCGTGCCCTTAAGTGGAGTGGTAGTCCATGAAATAAAACCTGGAAGCTTTATTCTGCAGTAATGGGGTCTGCAGTCAAATCTGTTAATCTAATCATCTAGTAATTACTAAATTGTTAAGGACTGCAAGCAAAAGCAACTTGGTCGTACTGTAGCTCAAGAAACCCACCCTTACTCATGAAATAATCAACTGGATGGGAAATGCACAAACTATATCCTAATCCTAAGAAAGTACCTTTCCACAGAACCTCTGTGCACAGCTGGTCTCACCTACTGAGTGGGCAGGAGCACCTCATCCTGTTTTCCTTTCCCAGCACAATGCACCCTTCGAGTGCCATCCCAGCTCAGCCCTTGTATTTACCTGGGCAGGAAGAGGGGTCCTGTGCAGACATAGACGTTCCTGTTGTGCCTTGCCAAGCTCCTGCAGTACTTCTCAAGGTTATTCCAGGCATTCTGGTTTAAGTGAGGATTCTAGAAACACAACCAGCGGTGAGTTGCAGGGGTATTTTGTCACTGTTCAGAGTAACACACCTGCTTTTTCTGTTAACGCATCTCACAGTGCCCCATGCACTTTCCAGAAGAGACCATAAAATCCTAAATCTCCACTACCACCTTTGCTTTGGAAGCTGTGCACAGTGAGGTCCTGGTTTGCACACCCAGGACAGGACCCATCGCTCAGCCCACAACTATTGCAAGTGTCTGTCCAGGTGTTTAACTGCACTGAAAGGGGTCTCCCATGGCTCGAGAGGCACGTGCAGGTGCCTTTGCAGTTGTTAAACTCAGCAGGAAACACCTCCGGGTGACTTTGCCCCCTCTCTGCCCGGAGGGACAAACACAGCGCCACTCCCAGGTGGTTTCTCGCGTCTGCCCTTGGCCGGGGCAGCTCCGGACCGTACCTGCGGGGCGATGTTGCTCAGGTAGAACGTGTCCCGCATGGCCTTCTGGCTCCACTTGTGGTTGGCGGCCGCCGCCAGGTGCCCGCGGTCGAAGCCGCTGCCGCGGTAGTCGGCGTTGGTGGCGCGGTGATACTCGTGCACCGAGTCGTCCTCCTGGAAGTCGCAGGCGGCGCGGTCCGAGGCGCCGCTCAGCGTGTCCCGGTTGAGCTGCTCGATGACCCAGAGCGCGCTGCGGCTCCGCGGGTCGTAGCACAGCACGTAGGACTCGCGGCTCCGCAGCTGCGCCAGCCCGGGCAGCCCGTACTTGCTGAGCTCGGTGCGCCCCGAGCCCGGCGGGGCCGGCAGGTCGGCCGCGGCCGCGGCGGGCAGCACGGGCAGCCGGGCCAGCAGCCCTTCGGCCGCCTCGCCCCGCGGATCCGGGGAATCCCGGCGGTGACGGGGGGCCAGGGCCGCCCCCAGCCCCGCGCCCACCGCGAAGGGCAGCGCCCAGCGCGCCCGCAGCATGGCCGTGCCGGTGGGGACCGCCCCCCGGCGCTTAAAACGGGCCGCGGCCGCGCCGGGGGCGGCCGCGCTGAGGCGGCGGCATCGCCGCTTTAAGGCGGCGCGCGCACGGCGCGGGTGCGGGGACAGCGCGGACCCCGCGATCCCGGGATGGGAGCGGGAAAGGATTTACCGGGAATGACGGGACGGGAGAGGGAGCGGGACACAGAACAGAAGCACTCAGCGGTCAGCGAGGCGCGGGACCCGCGCTCACACCGCGGCCGAGAGCGCCCGCGGGTGCTCCCGGGAGAAAGGCACCGCTCCCGCGCTTGGGAAGGGAAAGCAAAACCATGTCGGGAAGGAGGAGATGGCTGGGCCCCAAGGCTCGGACGGCCCGGCCCAGCCGCTCCCACTATGGACACGACAGCCCAAACTCCGGTCACAGCACCGGGAGAGGTTTGCACGAAGTCAGCCCGTTTGGTTAGGGAAGCGTTATAAAAATAGCGTTTAAAAAGAAGCGTAGAGGAAGGAGTTTTAGAGTGATAAAGTGTTCACTACACACTGTTCTGGCAATTCTTTCCAAGCAAGGTGAATAAAAAAAGAAAAGTGCTATCTGTTCCTTTCTTTGGGGAAAGGGCGTTTTAGAGGAGTGCCCCAAACAGCTAAAACAAAGATTGACATTCCTTAAGGGAAAACAGCCTCTGCTTCCCCAAACACCCCTTAAGCAACTTCTGGCCTTCATTCTACTCGCTGCCAAAGTGTGAATAATTCCAGTCTAGGTCACACAAATCAGTCCTTTGAATGACCACCACCAACAACTTGATCTCTAGTACCCTCTTGCTTCTACCTGATTGACCAAGCCACAGAGTTTCCTGAATTCCAGGTAGAGCAGACCTGTCCCTCCCAGGGAAGGCTCATCCTACCCCACACCCAGCACAGTGTCCTGTCCTCACCTCCCACCTCAAAGAACTCCTCCTTCAGCCAACCCTGCAGGATTGAAAGAAAGCAGAGGTGGAAACATCTCAAGGCTGGAGTAGTTGTTACTTGGTCACACAAGAAAGGAACCACTATTTAAGTATCATCTCATCTCAACAACAACAAAAATAAATCACCAAAAGCCTTTGAGGAATGAAGCCAAGGGATTCATGAGGAGATTCAAAAGCTGGTAATAAAGACTTTTTCTTCTCCCCTCAGTTTTGCTCTTAAAGAAAGGAGAAAGTGTTGGAGTAAAGAATTAAGGTCCCCAGTCACTGAAAAGTCAACTCCTTTCAACAGCAGGACAGAAGTCCTACCACACAAGAGGGAAAAAAGGAAGAATATAAAGCAGCTTTTTATGTGGGAACCAGCCTGTCTGGGTTTAAAGATGTTCCAAGCTCCCCCCAAAGAACTCAATCAATTTAGCAGCCATAGTCTGGATAAGGCTACAAAATTTATCCTAGAGAACCTTTCCAGCAGCCAAAGCTCTCATCACATCCCTTTAAACCACTGCAGACTCCTTTCTAAGGCAGCTACTGTCACCCCCCAAGGTAAGGTGCCACAACATGAGCCCTGGGACACCAAAGAAGGGAGAAGACAGCAAGACACCCGCACCCAACAGCCACCTGCACGTCCCCTCTGCCTTCCCTGAGTGTGTGCAACGCTCCAGCCCAGCTCCTGCCCAGGCAGGTCACCTCCAGGGCACAAAGCTACTCTGAAAACGTGCAAAGTTCACCACCAAGTAATGCTTTCATCCTGATTTGCCTGCTGCTTCCTCAAGGTTACTTTAAGGAGACTTCCAGCTGTTCAGAGCAGGAACCTCCATGGATGGTCCCACTACCAGTGAGAAAATCCAGCATAAGGGAATCCCTGCACTTGCCAGGGGGACTCAAAGTGGACAGCCCAGGCCAGATATTCAGGGAGGTGAGAGCAGAGCTTGTACATGGAATGGGAGAGCTGCAGCAGCATTTAGAGCAGTTCTGAGGCAGAAGTGTTTGGAGAAGGTCCAATTCTGCCACAGAGTGTGACCCCCTCTGGTTCTACATTTGGAGAGAACCTCCCAGGTGGTTGTTTGGCCACACAAGGTCTGGCCAACAGCCTCCCTAGTGCAGGTACCCCAAGAGCTGAGTCCATGGGACCACCTGGAACAGCTCAGAAAGAAGAACATCCATTCAGTGACTAGAGCAGACATTACAGAGCTGTCGTGGTCTACCTGTCCCATTTTCCTTGGAGGAAAACTGTACCCTCTAG